CTTCACCTCTTCCTTCTCCTCCTCCTCCAGCTCTTCCTCCTCCTTCTTCTCTTCCTCCTCCTCCTTCTCTTCTTCCTCTCCTCTTCTTCCTTCTTCTCCTCTTTTTCCTTTTCCTTCTCTTCTTCTTCTTCCTCCTTCTCCATCTCCTCCTCCTCCTCTTCCTCCTTCTACTCTTCTTCTTCCTCCTCCTCCTCTTCCTTCTCCACCTCCTCTTCTTCCTCCTCCTTCTACTTCTTCTTCTTCTCCTTATTTCTCCTCCTCTTCTTCTTCTTCTTCCTCCTCCTTCTACTTCTTCTTCTTCCTCCTCCTTCTTCTTCTTCTCATTTCTCCTCCTCTTCTTCTTCCTCCTCCTTTTACTTCTCCTGCTTCTCTTATTTCTCCTCTTCTTCCTCCTCCTTTTTCTCTTCCTTCTTTTCATCCTCCTCCTCCTCCATTCCATCCTCAAGCCTCCCTTCCCATGGGGCTGCAGCGCCGACCCACGGCGTCACCCCAACGCTTTGGGTAGGACAGGACCTTCCAAACCCCCCCAGTTCCCCCCCCTCCTCCTCCTCCTCTTCTTCCTCTTCCTCCTCCTCCTCTTCTTCTTCCTCCTCCTCCTCCTTCTCCTCCTCCTCCTCTTCCTTCACCTCTTCTTCCTTCTCCTTCTCCTCCTCCTCTTTCCTCCTCCTCACCCTCCTCATCCTCTCTCCCTCACCAGACGACCCTGGGGGTGTGTGTGTGTGTGTGTGTGTTGTGGGGGTGTTTCTGGGACTTCAGCGTGGGTGGGGTCCTTCCTCGCGCAGAGATCTCGGACCTGCTGATCACGAGGAAGGTGAAGGACAGCGCGAAGCCGATCCTGAACCTCACCCAGCTCAGCTTCCACCAGATCCGCAAGAACGAGATCTCCCAGGTTGGTGTCTCCTCTGCCCGGGTGAAGACCTCCAGGTGGAGAAAGAAGCTGCTTTCTTGACCTGGGTGGGGGGGTTGGGGGGGACATCACCGCACCCCCGAGACCTCTGGTGCAAAGAGGAGGGAGAGATGGAGCAATTTTGGGCTTAATTTTGCTGCTTTCTTCTTCCCCTCTTCAAGGAGAGGGGGGAAAGAGCCGCTCTTTGTCCCTACCACCCACAGCGACGTGTGGGGTTGACCCAGAGGGAAGGGGGGATTGTCCCCCCATCCTCACCCCAGCTCTTCTTGGGGGTCTGACCCCTTGGTGGCTTCTCCATCTCGCCTGCAGAGAGCCCACCTGGGCCAGGGCACCCGCACCAACATCTACGAGGGGGTGTTGACCGTCTGCGGCAGCGGCGGGGCCGAGGACGAAGCCGAATATTTCTCCACCGAGCAGAACAACAACAGCCGGGAGATGCACGTGGTCCTCAAAGTCCTGGACCCCAGCCATAGGGACATCGCCTTGGTGAGCCACCCAAAGGGGAGGTGGTGGGACCCATAGCGTTCCTCGGGGGTCGCTCGTTGGGACCATTGGTGTTTTGACACCTCTGGTGATGGAGATGGTGGGGTTGAGGGTGTCCTCAGCCCACCC